CTTTCTACTTCTTACATGTTAGAACACAAATACCTGTACTTCTACTTCTTACATTTAGAACACAAATACCTGTACTTTCTACTTCTTACATGTTGAACCCAAATACCTGTACTTTCTACTTCTTACATTTAGAACACAAATACCTGACTTCTACTTCTTACATGTTGAACTCAATAACCTTCTTTACTTTTACATGTTGAACACAAATACCTTGTACTTTCTACTTCTTACATGTTGAACCCCAAATACCTGTACTTTCTACTTCTTACATTTAGAACACAAATACCTGTACTTTCACTTCCTTACATGTTGAACACAAATACCTGTACTTTCTACTTCTTACATGTTGAACTCAAATACCTGTATTTCTACTTCTTACATGTTGAACACAAATACCTGTACTTTCTACTTCTTACATGTTGAACTCAAATACCTGTACTTTCTACTTCTTACATTTAGAACACAAATACCTGTACTTTCTACTTCTTACATGTTGAACTCAAATACCTGTACTTTCTACTTCTTACATGTTGAACACAAATACCTGTACTTTCTACTTCTTACATTTAGAAACAAATACCTGTACTTTCTACTTCTACATTTGAACTCAAATACCTACTTTCTACTTCTTACATGTTGAACCCAAATACCTGTACTTTCTACTTCTTACATTTAGAACACAAATACCTGTACTTTCTACTTCTTACATGTTGAACCCAAATACCTGTACTTTCTATTTCTTACATGTTGAACCCAAATACCTGTACTTTCTACTTCTTACATGTTGAACTCAAATACCTGTACTTTCTACTTCTTACATGTTGAACCAAATACCTGTACTTTCTACTTCTTACATGTTGAACACAAATACCTTGTACTTTCTACTTCTTACATGTTGAACACAAATACCTGTACTTTCTACTTCTTACATGTTGAACTCAATACCTGTACTTTCTACTTCTTACATGTTGAACACAAATACCTGTACTTTCTACTTCTTACATGTTGAACTCAAATACCTGTACTTTCTACTTCTTACATGTTGAACTCAAATACCTGTACTTTCTACTTCTTACATGTTGAACACAAATACCTGTACTTTCTACTTCTTACATGTTGAACTCAAATACCTGTACTTTCTACTTCTTACATGTTGAACACAAATACCTGTACTTTCTACTTCTCACATGTTGAACTCAAATACCTGTACTTTCTACTTCTTACATGTTGAACCAAATACCTGTACTTTCTACTTCTTACATGTTGAACTCAAATACCTGTACTTTCTACTTCTTACATGTTGAACTCAAATACCTGTACTTTCTACTTCTTACATGTTGAACTCAAATACCTGTACTTTCTACTTCTTACATTTAGAACACAAATACCTGTACTTTCTACTTCTTACATGTTGAACTCAAATACCTGTACTTTCTACTTCTTACATTTAGAACACAAATACCTGTACTTTCTACTTCTTACATGTTGAACTCAAATACCTGTACTTTCTACTTCTTACATGTTGAACACAAATACCTGTACTTTCTACTTCTTACATTTAGAACACAAATACCTGTACTTTCTACTTCTTACATGTTGAACTCAAATACTTTCTACTTCTTACATGTTGAACCCAAATACCTGTACTTTCTACTTCTTACATTTAGAACACAAATACCTGTACTTTCTACTTCTTACATGTTGAACCCAAATACCTGTACTTTCTATTTCTTACATGTTGAACCCAAATACCTGTACTTTCTACTTCTTACATGTTGAACTCAAATACCTGTACTTTCTACTTCTTACATGTTGAACCCAAATACCTGTACTTTCTACTTCTTACATGTTGAACACAAATACTTGTACTTTCTACTTCTTACATGTTGAACACAAATACCTGTACTTTCTACTTCTTACATGTTGAACTCAAATACCTGTACTTTCTACTTCTTACATGTTGAACACAAATACCTGTACTTTCTACTTCTTACATGTTGAACTCAAATACCTGTACTTTCTACTTCTTACATGTTGAACTCAAATACCTGTACTTTCTACTTCTTACATGTTGAACACAAATACCTGTACTTTCTACTTCTTACATGTTGAACTCAAATACATGTACTTTCTACTTCTTACATGTTGAACACAAATACCTGTACTTTCTACTTCTCACATGTTGAACTCAAATACCTGTACTTTCTACTTCTTACATGTTGAACTCAAATACCTGTACTTTCTACTTCTTACATGTTGAACTCAAATACCTGTACTTTCTACTTCTTACATGTTGAACTCAATACCTGTACTTTCTACTTCTACATGTTGAACTCAAATACCTGTACTTTCTACTTCTTACATGTTGAACTCAAATACCTGTACTTTCTACTTCTTACATGTTGAACTCAAATACCTGTACTTTCTACTTCTTACATGTTGAACACAAATACCTGTACTTTCTACTTCTTACATGTTGAACTCAAATACCTGTACTTTCTACTTCTTACATGTTGAACTCAAATACCTGTACTTTCTACTTCTTACATGTTGAACTACAAATACCTGTACTTTCTACTTCTTACATGTTGAACTCAAATACCTGTACTTTCTACTTCTCACATGTTGAACACAAATACCTGTAACTTTCTACTTCTTACATGTTGAACTCAAATACCTGTACTTTCTACTTCTTACATAGTTGAACTCAAATACCTGTACTTTCTACTTCTCTCATTTTCCCAAACAGCTGGTTCCTTTAGTCTGAATGTGTGTTTGATGCGTGATCATTATTCTTTAGAGTCATTGCGTGCCTATTGATTTGAACACGATCCGTGTATCCATCATTTCCTGGTCTTCTCTAAAGAAGAGGGACCAATGGAAACGTTGTCATGTTGCCGTTGTTCAGCATGGAAACATTCATTAGCTAACAATGACATTATTGTTCTATTAATATAAAGGGAGGTCAGGTACTCTTTAAAACAGCTGCTAGTTATGGGTACTTTTTACTGAAGTACATTTCAAAGCCTCTTTACTTTCACTTGAGTAAAGAAGTTTAGTCAGTACTTCTACTTTTACCAGAGTATTTTTAAACACGAGTATCTGTACTTCTACTTGAGTAAATAAAGGATGTGTGTACTCTGCGGTTATCCACATGTCCCTGAACGCACCGTTCCCTCGCTGATGTAAGAAGGGAGTCCTCTCTCCAATGTCAGCCAACCGCTGCCCTGGGACACATGCAGCAGAGGCCTAAAGAAACACAGGGTTTCCCCAAAAATGTCCGACAACGGAAAAGGAAACATCTGAAGTATTATTATAGTTTATGTTTCCCTGCAGATAAAAAAGAGCTGAACCATTCTGCTCCCTCAGGGTCGAGCTTTTATAGCTCAGATGGAAACGAGGCTGCACCACGTTGAAAAAAAAGCACTTTTCATCAGACAAGTACTACTTTGTGGTCGTCTTCATCCTTTCTGTAGCGGAGATTGTGTTTTTTAATAAAGAGTTGAAGCATTTAACAGAACCTAATTTCCAGCTGGAAAGGCGGAGGTTTGCAGCAGCTTTTGATCAAAGGTCTGACTGTCTCCCCAAAAGCCATGTATACAGAGGAGCAGGAAACTAAAGGGACATAAGACATGATAATTATAACCGGTAACATCTGTATGATAATTAGTCAGCCTGTGTATTCTAACTGCGAGGAAAACAACCCAAGATGTACAAATGAACAGTGACCTTATATATAATTAAAGGAGACTTGTGATGCATTTCCATGAGAGATACTTTCATAAAAACATACATCTTTTCTCTGAGAAGATGATTTGAATTGAAAGTATTGTCCTTTGCATAAACCAGGAAAAACATTGTTGTATGACTTGGGTTGAGGTTAGCCTAACCCTAATTTACTGTATTATAGTTCAAGTTGTCTTACAGAAAAAGGGACCCTAACCATCGGCTCCTCAGGGTACATTTCTATAGTTTCAGATTGAACCATGTCGAGAGAAAGCACAACTGATATTTCTGTAATATAACAATAAACTTTTCGTCAGACAGGATCCTGTTTCGGGTCAAGCTCATCCTTTATGCATTTCCATTTAATACATAACGTTTTTTTGTGGGTTTTTCTCAAGAATCCGAGTTACTGGAGTCCTTTCAGATAGGCTTCTCTTTCAGTCGTTATGGGACCAAAATTATTTGCATCAACCAGGATAAAAACTGTTGCATGACGCGTGGATTTGCATCACATGGACTAGGGTTATAAAGATTACAAAGAACTCAATGGTGCTGTGATGCCCCTGTGGGTTCATAACAGTGCTCTAGGAGGAGATTCAGGTGATAAGGGGGGGGGGGGGGGGGTTACCTTGGTTGCTGATTGGCTAATGGTTACACAAGACACAACATCGTTATGACATCATAAAGTGGCCAAAATGTGATCAGCTCAGACTTCCAGAGTCTCTTTCCACAGAGGGGACACATGTTGATGTAGAAGAGACATGAAGAAGAGGGGACACATGTTGATGTAGAAGAGACACGAAGAAGAGGGGACACATGTTGATGTAGAAGAAACATGAAGAAGAGGGGACACATGTTGATGTAGAAGAGACATGAAGAAGAGGGGACACATGTTGATGTAGAAGAGACACGAAGAAGAGGGGACACATGTTGATGTAGAAGAAACATGAAGAAGAGGGGACACATGTTGATGTAGAAGAAACATGAAGAAGAGGGGACACATGTTAATGTAGAAGAGACATGAAGAAGAGGGGACACATGTTGATGTAGAAGAGACATGAAGAAGAGGGGACACATGTTGATGTAGAAGAGACACGAAGAAGAGGGGACACATGTTGATGTAGAAGAGACATGAAGAAGAGGGGACACATGTTGATGTAGAAGAGACATGAAGAAGAGGGGACACATGTTGATGTAGAAGAGACATGGAGAAGAGGATTTTGCATGATAGGTGAGGGTTAACATCCATTGGTAACGCTCCTCTCTGTGTTCAGGTACGGGCTGCAGCCAGGATCTGCTCTTCTTCCTCTGTGCGATGTACGCTCCCATCTGCACCATCGACTTCCAGCACGAGCCCATCAAACCCTGCAAGGCCGTGTGTGAGCGGGCGAAGACCGGCTGTGAGCCCGTGATGAAGAGATACAACCACAGCTGGCCCGACAGCCTGAGCTGCAGCGAGCTGCCGCTGTACGACCGGGGGGTCTGCATCTCGCCCGAGGCCATCGTGAAGGCAGAGGGGCCAGGTACATATACGTTCATCAAGGATGTTATATTTAAGACTGAGATGTGTCTCCAAAGTCGAGCTGATAACGAATTAGTCGACAAACAGAAAAATAACTGGTAACTTTATGACAATTAATCTATAATTGACCAATTCATATATATATAAATCTTAATGCAAAAATGCCCGGAAATATTTTTCAGCCTCTCAAATATGTATATTTCGTGTTCTTTTACTATTTTATATTAAAGTGGATGAAGTAGATATATTTTAGTTTTGGAAGGACACAGTAAGACATTTCAAGACCTTTGACTTTGACTTTGAGAACATAACGGACATGTTTGAATTTAATTGAATTGATTTATTTAAAACAAGGGACAGTTAATTTTTAATTTTTAATTAATCAACATATTTAAAACATGTAAAAGTACTCAAATTAGCCAAAAGGCTAGTTTCACTTTGAGAGACAGAAAGACACAACAAGCGGGAGGTTTTTGAAGATCTACTGAATATTGAAAATGAAGGGAAAGTAATGAGCCACTACTACAGTTTAGGTGTGGTTTTCCCTGCATTTTGGGGGGGGTGCAGGTTTATTCGAACAGCACCTTGCACTAAATATTACGAGGCCGTGCTTCTCTGCCACTGTTGGCCAGTCTGAGCACTGGAGATCCACCTCTTAAGTACAATCGTACGAGGCAAACTCTAACCCTAACTTCTGTAATGTTATAAACTCTATCACTTTCTCCTGTGAACACCTCAGAATTGAAACTTCTTCTGTGTCTCTATATTCCCCTCTCTAAGTGAAAGACCTGGCCCATCAGGAAGCCGTTCTGCCTGCTTTATGAACCCTATCGTAGATCTCTGACATGTTTCTACTCTCAGCAGAGTTTCGTGAGTCATTTCCCCTCGACTTCACTCCCACTGACTCTCTCAAAGAGCTCCTTGATGCAGGCGGCCCACTCCTTTTACACTCAATAAAACCCTCACTGTCCTCGCTTCTTTAAACAGGCCTGAGACCAGCAAGTCATCTCAATCCCCTTGACCTCCATAACGATTCGCCCACATATCAGCGGGGTTTGGGGATTTTCCCTCGCCGTGATTTCTTGATTTGTTGAGGTTCAGAGTGGGAGTTTCAGTCGGGAAGTTATACGTTTCTCTCTTGTGCTTAAGAGGTGGGAAGTAGTGGAGTACAAATATTTTTTTACTGTACTTGAGTACATTTTTCTGGTATCAGTACTTTACTCCACTATTTATTTTTCTGACGACTTTTTACTTTGACTTCTTACATTTTGAACCCAAATACCTGTACTTTCTACTTCTTACATGTTGAACACAAATACCTGTACTTTCTACTTCTCACATGTTGAACTCAAATACCTGTACTTTCTACTTCTTACATGTTGAACACAAATACCTGTACTTTCTACTTCTTACATGTTGAACTCAAATACCTGTACTTTCTACTTCTTACATGTTGAACCCAAATACCTGTACTTTCTACTTCTTACATGTTGAACTCAAATACCTGTACTTTCTACTTCTTACATGTTGAACTCAAATACCTGTACTTTCTACTTCTTACATGTTGAACACAAATACCTGTACTTTCTACTTCTTACATGTTGAACACAAATACCTGTACTTTCTACTTCTCACATGTTGAACTCAAATACCTGTACTTTCTACTTCTTACATGTTGAACACAAATACCTGTACTTTCTACTTCTTACATGTTGAACTCAAATACCTGTACTTTCTACTTCTTACATGTTGAACCCAAATACCTGTACTTTCTACTTCTTACATGTTGAACTCAAATACCTGTACTTTCTACTTCTTACATGTTGAACTCAAATACCTGTACTTTCTACTTCTCTCATGTTGAACTCAAATACCTGTACTTTCTACTTCTTACATGTTGAACCCAAATACCTGTACTTTCTACTTCTTACATGTTGAACCCAAATACCTGTACTTTCTACTTCTTACATGTTGAACCCAAATACCTGTACTTTCTACTTCTTACATGTTGAACTCAAATACCTGTACTTTCTACTTCTCTCATTTTCCAAACAGCTGGTTCCTTTAGTCTGAATGTGTGTTTGGTGCGTGATCATTATTCTTTAGAGTCATTGCGTGCCTATTGATTTGAACACGATCCGTGTATCCATCATTTCCTGGTCTTCTCTAAAGAAGAGGGACCAATGGAAACGTTGTCATGTTGCCGTTGTTCAGCATGGAAACATTCATTAGCTAACAATGACATTATTGTTCTATTGATATAAAGGAAGGTCAGGTACTCTTTAAAGCAGCTGCTAGTTATGGGTACTTTTTACTGAAGTACATTTCAAAGCCTCTTTACTTTGACTTGAGTAAAGAAGTTTAGTCAGTACTTTCACCAGAGTATCTTTAAACACGAGTATCTGTACTTCTACTTGAGGAAAGGATGTGTGTACTTCTACTTGAGGAAAGGATGTGTGTACTTCTGCCATCTCTGACCTTAACAACAGAAACCCAAAGTCTCTGTGTCTAAACTGTTCGCTAACTTGATGTTGAATTTGAAGTCACTGTGACACAGAGAGCGCTGCCAAGAGCTCGGTTTCTGCTCAGATTAGATTAGATGTTCTCTATTCATTCCCAAAACTGCTCACGAAATGAAACCCCACTAAAAGTAGTCCCTGCAGATGAGAAGTAAAGACTATATATAGACTATCCCGCAATGAAACAGTAGATTGGCATGATTTTCAGTTATTTTGACCACATTAAAATATACACTTTTACACACACTTTCCTTGCCGTTGGCTGTGTGCCGCTGCCTTGGCTTTGGAGTTAAACATTTCCCAACTTGGGATCAATAAAGTACTTCTTGTGTTATTATCTTATCTTAAATGCTAGCTGCACTGTCTCTCCATATGTTTATGCTTTGTGGGATTGACATATTTTGCCATGTCATCACCGTTCATATCTATCGCCCAGAACCACCGGAGGAAATCACTGTTTATCTGGTTTTGTCATTAAGAATTGGTTCCATCTGCAAGAACTTTAAAGTGTATCAATGAAAATGCAAAATAAGGTTTTGTGAAAGTTGCATGTTAGAATACAATTAACCCTCTGAAGACTCAGGGTCATGGTGAAGACATGATGAAGACGTGATGAAGACATGGTGAAGACATGATGAAGACATGGTGAAGACATGATGAAGACATGGTGAAGACATGATGAAGACATGATGATGACATGATGAAGACATGGTGAAGACATGATGAAGACATGATGAAGACATGGTGAAGACATGATGAAGACATGATGAAGACATGATGATGACATGATGAAGACATGATGAAGACATGATGAAGACATGATGAAGACATGATGAAGACATGGTGAAGACATGGTGAAGACATGGTGAAGACATGATGAAGACATGATGAAGACATGGTGAAGACATGATGATGACATGATGAAGACATGGTGAAGACATGATGAAGACATGATGAAGACATGATGAAGACATGGTGAAGACATGATGAAGACATGGTGAAGACATGATGAAGACATGGTGAAGACATGATGAAGACATGATGATGACATGATGATGACATGGTGAAGACATGATGAAGACATGGTGAAGACATGATGAAGACATGGTGAAGACATGATGAAGACATGATGAAGACATGATGAAGACATGGTGAAGACATGATGAAGACATGATGAAGACATGGTGAAGACATGGTGAATACATGATGAAGACATGGTGAAGACATGATGAAGACATGATGAAGACATGATGAAGACATGATGAAGACATGGTGAAGACATGGTGAAGACATGATGAAGACATGATGAAGACATGGTGAAGACATGGTGAAGACATGATGATGACATGATGAAGACATGATGAAGACATGGTGAAGACATGATGAAGACATAATGAAGACATGATGAAGACATGATGAAGACATGATGAAGACATGATGATGACATGATGAAGACATGATGATGACATGATGAAGACATGGTGAAGACATGATGAAGACATAATGAAGACATGATGAAGACATGATGATGATATGATGCAGACATGATGAAGACATGATGAATACATGATGAAGACATGATGATGACATGATGATGACATGATGAAGATATGATGATGACATGATGATGACATGATGAAGACATGGTGAAGACATGGTGAAGACATGGTGAAGACATGATGAAGACATGATGAAGACATGATGAAGACATGATGAAGACATGATGAAGACATGATGAAGACATGGTGAAGACATGATGAAGACATGATGAAGACATGATGAAGACATGGTGAAGACATGATGATGACATGATGAAGACATGGTGAAGACATGATGAAGACATGATGAAGACATGATGAAGACATGGTGAAGACATGATGAAGACATGATGAAGACTCAGTGATGAAGACATGATGAAGACATGGTGAAGACATGATGAAGACATGATGATGACATGATGATGACATGGTGAAGACATGATGAAGACATGGTGAAGACATGATGAAGACATGGTGAAGACATGATGAAGACATGATGAAGACATGATGAAGACATGGTGAAGACATGATGAAGACATGATGAAGACATGGTGAAGACATGGTGAAGACATGATGAAGACATGGTGAAGACATGATGAAGACATGATGAAGACATGATGAAGACATGATGAAGACATGGTGAAGACATGGTGAAGACATGATGAAGACATGATGAAGACATGGTGAAGACATGGTGAAGACATGATGATGACATGATGAAGACATGATGAAGACATGGTGAAGACATGATGAAGACATAATGAAGACATGATGAAGACATGATGAAGACATGATGAAGACATGATGAAGACATGATGATGACATGATGAAGACATGATGATGACATGATGAAGACATGGTGAAGACATGATGAAGACATAATGAAGACATGATGAAGACATGATGATGATATGATGCAGACATGATGAAGACATGATGAATACATGATGAAGACATGATGATGACATGATGATGACATGATGAAGATATGATGATGACATGATGATGACATGATGAAGACATGGTGAAGACATGGTGAAGACATGGTGAAGACATGATGAAGACATGATGAAGACATGATGAAGACATGATGAAGACATGATGAAGACATGATGAAGACATGAAGACATGATGAAGACATGATGAAGACATGATGAAGACATGATGATGACATGATGCAGACATGATGAAGACATGATGATGACATGATGATGACATGATGAAGACATGATGAAGACATGGTGAAGACATGATGAAGACATGATGAAGACATGATGAAGACATGATGAAGACATGGTGAAGACATGATGAAGACATGATGAATACATGATGAAGACATGATGAAGACATGATGAAGACATGGTGAAGACATGATGAAGACATGATGAAGACATGATGAAGACATGGTGAAGACATGGTGAAGACATGATGAAGACATGATGAAGACATGATGAAGACATGATGATGACATGATGAAGACATGATGAAGACATGATGATGACATGGTGAAGACATGATGAAGACATGGTGAAGACATGATGAAGACATGATGAAGACATGATGCAGACATGATGAAGACATGATGAAGACATGATGAAGACATGATGAAGACATGATGAAGACATGATGATGACATGATGAAGACATGGTGAAGACATGATGAAGACATGATGAAGACATGATGAAGACATGATGAAGACATGGTGAAGACATGGTGAATACATGATGAAGACATGGTGAATACATGATGAAGACATGATGAATACTTAAGCCATCAAATGAAATGTTGTTGATGGAAACGTTGACAGAATATAATTGTAGGGCTCTAACAACAGCTAAAGACCAATATGTGTGTGTGGGTAAACAGCTATCAATATATGTTGTTATTCTGTACGTGGTTTCTGACACCATTCCTCTCTGTCTCTGCAGATCCTTTCTACCAGGACCCAGCCAGGTGTAACCCAGGTGAGGCTGACATTCCACCTCTTTTTTACCCAAGATTTGCAAGAAGTTAGCGTATCGTGTTCTCTCGTTGAATAGATACTAGGTGGATCAGGTTAAACACAAGTGCTTTAGGTGGAAAAAAACGAATATACCACCTCAGAATCTCCATAAAACA